GCTGCTCGTCTACACACCAACTTCTATGAATTCCCTCATCGTGACCTGATGGTTGCTGGGTCAGTTTGCACATATGAAAATTTCTAAACGCATACTTTACCTAATTTCCATCATGATTACAAGAGCATGTATGAAGGCTTCTATGCAAATGCTGCGTGGAGCTGCAATCCTGCACCAGGACATAATGCTGAGCTAAAGATGAGAGGAGCAGTCGGCGCTGCTGCATCCAGGAGGGAGTGTGACAGTCATGGACGCATTTACAGAGAAAAAGGAGGAGGCTCGACCTACGTCTGGGACTGACACTGCAGCAGACGCAGCAGCAGGTGAATGGCTCTCAGTCGCTGGTTTCCAGTCTGTCGACAGGCCACGCCCACTTGCCACTCCCAGATGTCGGCTAGTGGCAGTTGGCTGAGCACCTGGTCATCAGCTAACATTTGCTTCAGTATCTCAAAACCTGATGAGCGAGCAAAGAAGAGTGAAGCTGATGTTAATGTGACGTTCAATAAAAAGGCCGCAAAGCGAATCTGAACAGAAGGAGGAAGGCACCTGTCTGAAAACGGCCCCTGTGCCCCCCCGTCACGGTGAACTTGTAGCCCCACTCTGTGTTGCTCATGTCTGACATGAATCTGTAGTACAGGGTATCACCTGAGAAAGCCAGAGATGCAAATATGAAGTGGACAGTCACATGACCTCAAATGCAAACACACGAACGGTCCTCACCGGGGATTTCAAAGTCGGACCACTTCTGCGGAGACCCACTGAAGTTGTGAACATCTTGGACAAAATCGCTGCTGCTGGACATGATGAGCTCGTCGCAGCCTTCCTCTGTGTAGCAGCGCGAATCGAATTTTACGGACAGGTAGATGGCGCCAGGGATGTGCACCTTGTCCTGAGGGCAGAACACATGTGCATGACAGAGTCGGCGTGTCATTGGTCCCAACACAGTAACTGTGCAGGTGTTTGTGAAGTTCAGCATCAGATGTTCAGTAGAGGACACGTTTGAAGCAACAACAACGACTCACCTCAAAGTTGGTGTTGTTATCGTACGGGTGTTTGGACTCTCTGACCTGCACTGCCATGCCAGGCTCCTCCATGAACTGGCAAGCAGTGAGAGAAAGACTGCAGAGCATGCTGTGGCTGCAACCCTTCAGCACCCTCTGAAGAATCTGATAGTAAAAGCAAACAAAGCGGCTTCAGCCCATCGTGTACTCGCACGCTACTTTTGTTCACTTCTGC